TAAAATTCGTCATGAACTAGTTTTGTAGGGTCTTAAATCTTTCTGTCAAATGTTGTGAGCATCGGGCCTTCATATAAGGCTTTGATAAGATATTCTGCGTAAGTTTTATTGAAGCCAAAATCTTTGTAAATTCTTAGGAGGATCGGTCCAAAATTGACCATAAGCAAATTTACAGGTAATCAAATCATTAAAAAAAAACTATTAAATATTATAAAATAAGTACTACCATCACCCTTACTATATTATTATTTATATATGATAAAACAGTTTAGAAAACTGATTTATCTGATTTATTTGATTTAATTGTGGTAGCAACGTACACTTAAAAATTAAGACACAAGAAGAATATAGCACTCTTACTTGTTAAATATGGAAATTTTCCACTACTCAAAGCTCTAATTTTTAAATCGATCAATTGCATTTCTAGAAATTCAGTACCAATTCCAAATGGCTCAATGTCGATTACTGGATATGTTCTGTTCTCAAATGTACGATTGTGATGGCAATCAAGAGCAAGGAGATTAGTATTTATTTTGCTAATATATAGAACGTTTAAAAAAATTCAAAAGTTGGGCACATTATAGAAGCGTTTGAGAATTGTTTCGTTAGTTTTGATACACTACTCATTAATCGATTCAGAACGATTTAAAAAAATACATTTATTTTATAAAAGAAATAAAATGTGTGTATTAAACAAAAGAGTCGCAGCATCACATCCAAAGAGCAGCATGTGGCTCGCAAACCGTAATTTGCCGACCACTGGTCTAGTCGGAAGATCAAAAACTGTTCTCTGTATTATTGAATTTGTTTGTAACATGCATAAAAATGACTCAGAAAAGGCCCAAAAAATACTAAAATATGATTAGAAAATGACCCTAAAAAGATTAGTATTTCGACTCGAAAATTGCTCAAAAATGATACGAAAATATGACGGAACTGATCAGAAGTGGGGCTCATAAAATATTCTTTTAGAAGAGTACATGATTGGGTAGCATTTACTCCCGATGAAAGTATCGGTATGATCGTGCAGAAGAGTTATAACTCGTGTGGTCAAAATGTTCAAAAAAATTCCAACTGGGATATTAACTGTTCTCTCTCATTCTCTTACATTTTCGTAAAATTTTATTGCTGTATTACTGTATGTTTTTTTAAACAGTCGCGCTCAGACCATGCTTTGATAAGTGCTGATCAGCAACTGAATTGATTTTGTTTTACAAGTTGAAAGCAAATCAACTAATATTGCTCATTAAAAGAAGAAGAAATAAACATGTATGTGTAGTAGGAATATAACTATTGACAATTTTTGCAAATAGTATGTACGTTAGCACAGCATAGTCAAATAGAGCATTAAAAATATGAGAAACCACTGTATTATTTTTTCGCGATTGTTAAAAAAGTACAAGCGCTAAAGGAAAAGTAGACTTTTCGGTGAGAATGCCCATATATAAATATTTAAAATAAAAAAATTAAGAAATTTGGTTAGTTTTAGAAATTGAGGTTGGTGCGTGATGTTTTTGACGCCAAATGACCTAAACAAATAATTTGCATTATTTTTGGTATGCCAAACATTTTGCCAAAATTTATCCCTAATGTGTATTTTCACAACAATTTACTATTTGCCCTTTTACAATTTGTATTTGTATGTTTTCACTTTAACTTAGCAACTTACTAAGGGCCAATCTTTAGGTGAAAGAATAGCGATTAAATTAAAATTAATCCTCGAAAGTTGTTTTTGAGTACTCAATTAGTTAATTTTGTTTGCAAGTTTAAGCGCACGATGGAGGTGGTTTAAACTTAAGCATGATGTACAAAAGTGTAAACAGCTGATGCAAAAAAAAATAATATAATTTTTATAAATATAAACATTAAAATGTTCTATTTATTGATTAGTATAATATTTTTTTTTTTTAATTTAGTTAGTTAGTTTGAAAGGAGGATGTATATACATCAAATCCGAAGAAATACACCTAGGCCTCTATCGGGCCTGTTGTGCGCTCCTTAACCAGTTTTTAAATTTAAGTTTTCATTAATTTTCATACTAAATTTACAATTGTCTTCTTCTTTTTTATAAAATATGCATTGTTTTGATAACAAACAGTGACCTTTTCTGTTGTTTTGTATGGCAACACAGCAAAGTTTAATCTTGTACTCCAAAACATCAAATGGGAATAACATCGGATTAAATTTATTTTTAAATTAACTAATCTGATTATTAATTGGCATTTGTTTGCCAACTCGAAAACCCGGTCTAAGTAGTTTTCCACCGTTACAAAATTTTCTTTATCCTTGAAAATCCTGAAAGATTATATTTTGTTTTTCTTAATTTTTTAACTGAAAATAGACAATAGAACTATTATTGAGATGTAAAAATGTCAAATTGGGATCTCAATGGGTTCAGAAGTTATGTCAGTTTTTGTTTAGCTACATTTAAAATTTCCACAGGAGATGTGTGCTTTTTATACATTTTAATACATTTATTGTCCACTCAAATAAAGATTATAATGCAGAATAATGTAAAAAACGAATTTACTACAAAATGGCATCGATTTGGCATAAATTCCATATTTTGCGTTAAATTTCATATATTTTGCATATTTCTAAAATTTTTATTGCATATTATGCGTTTGTGCTGATGATTGTAACGTCCAAAAATATTGGTCCTATACCCACCCCTTAAAAGTCTCTGCTGAGAATCACTTTCTGAAACTGTTTATCGGAGTGTCCATATAACTTGACGAAATTTGGCCCCACATCTCTCTCACCCTAGCCACATACAAAATATCCTCAGGTCATCAGAGATGCTAAGTCATCGAAAGCTATTGGCCCAGACGGTATATCCATGTTGATGTTGAAAAATTTGGATGAACCGGGAGTTGAGTACCTTACAAAAGTCCTCAATTTGTCGATGTCAATCCTTGCTGAAGCCAGGGAAAAATGCAAACCAGGGAGAATCTTACAGGCCTATCTCCCTCCTGTCACCAATTGCCAAGACGCTTGAGGCACTACTCCTCCCGGAATTACAACAACACCTACATCCTGCAGATCATCAACATGGATTCCGCCTAAAGCACAGTACAACAACAGCTTTAACCGCCATCACCACACAAGTTTGCCACGGCCTTAATCAGGCTCGACCATGTCAACGAACGGTCCTCGTGGCACTCGACCTATCAAAAGCGTTTGGTCTGGTCAATCACGCCATTCTCTTCAGAGACATTTTAACATCTGGTCTCTCCGACAACACCAAGAGATGGCTAGTGAACTACATGTGTGGACGACAGTCATTTGTGGAGTTGAGGAACCAGAGATCTAAATCTCGTAGAATTAAACAGGGAGTACCCCAAGGTGGAGTTCTTTCGCCGATCCTGTTTAATTTCTACATGTCTAAACTCCCAACACCCCCGGACGGCGTCCAATAATATCTTACGCCGATGACTGCTCGATATTGGCCAGGGGCAATAGTATTGATGACCTTTACGGTTTGATAAACAGTTACCTATGTGATCTTTCCAGCTTCTTCCATTTAAGGAATTTAAAAATATCGCCTACGAAATCCTCAGCAACTCTCATCACCACCTGGACTAAGGAAGTAGGGCTAGAACTGGATGTGACAGTCGATGGCGAAAAAATTCCGACGGTAAATAACCCCAAAATACTTGGTGTCACATTCGATAGCCTCCTTATGTCCTCAGCGCACACCACTGCAATCTGCAACAAGATGCGAAGTAGAAACAAGGTACTCAAGTCTCAAGGCTGCATTCAAATGACATGCGAAGAACATCTGCATGACGAAACGAAGATGCTTTCAGTTAAGGAACATAACATCATGCTGTCAAAGCAGTTCCTACTGGGATGTCATCGGATGTCAAACCACCATCTAACGGAGTTAGAACCCCCTCCCCCGAGGCATGTCGGGAAAGATCTTCGTATGTATGAGAGTGACATCCAAGAACACCTGGATGATATAGAGGACGAAAGCTCATACAGGACAGCTTTGAATACTATCCATCAACAGGCGGTGGAAGACTCCATCAATTCCCACCGCGATAGTATAATACTGGGAGGTCGTCCCCCACCCGTTGCAAAGGAGGAACGAAACCTACCACGTCGTACTAGAGTGGTATTGGCACAACTTAGATCCGGATGGTGTACCCGTTTAAACTCGTACTGGTCGAGAATAAACGACACCATTCAAGATCTTTGTCCTGCATGTGGAACAGACCCACACAATGTTCAACACCTTTTTAACTGCAGGGCAAATCCAACTCAGTTGGAACCTGAATCCCTTTGGACTGAGCCGTTGGATGCGGCTCGTCTACTGGGTTTAGATCTAACGGAGTTGGGTAACCAGAGCGAAGAAGAAGAAGAGTAGGGAATAATGTTTAACTATATATACGTGTAATTTCAGGTGTCGCTGCTACAACAACAAAATATCCTTCAGAAAATGACTTTAACGTCCATAATTCACTTGAAAACATTACCACACGATAAAATTAAGAATAAGTGTAATTTATACAAAAATAAATCCATTCACCAAATTTTATGAGGATCGGACCATTTTTGATTAAAAATTTTTTAGATATAATTAATGAAAAATTCAACATACATATTTTAAATATACGCGTAATTGGTGTAGGGTGTCACATGTCGACTATACATTCTTGTTTTAATTCGCACATCTTCGTTATTTGAATGGAGCTAGTAAGCTTTCCCACTTTCAGAAATTAAATATATACTATTTAAAGTTGTTCTTAAGGCTTTAAAATTATTGTGATTTTCGAAATCGTGGTTCCGTTAAATTGGTACGAAAAGCGGTAACTCTGTGATCAAGAACCTATATATTTGTTGTCAAAAACTAAATATCTATAAATATGTACTTAAATACGCAAAAGAAAAATTAGTGATAACAACTGTAATTTTTAAAATGAAAATTCTAGGTTATTAACGATATATAAAATACCGAATTATTTACAAAGTTCTATGTTAATTTTAACACTTACCGAATCGCTACTCGAACAGAACAATCCTTTTCAAAGCAATCAGTTTTATCAGTCATTGTTGATCAAACTGTAAAAAAAATTGTAAAAATTTAAGTAGTTTTGTATATAGTTATAAGTAAAATTATTTTGATTTTATAAAATACTAGCTATATCCAGTGTGCTTTACTACCCTAAAAACAATAAAAATAAAAAGCCCAGTTAACGATTTTGAAGATTCTAACTATAATAGTTTTCCATATATACAATTTTTACTAGACCACAACTCCCTGATGGAAATGCACCCTTTTTTCACCAAAATGTTCAGTTTCCCACATATACGAATTTTTTTATCTATTTCGAATGGGTGGTTCTGCTCCTCCATTGGTAGTCCGCCAATTTATTACCCAAAATATTCGCATAGATATTGAAGTTCTTCTAATAAGAAGATTCTAACTCTAATAGTTTCCAAGATAAGCGAATTTTTGTATTTAATTCATGTGAGAGGTGCCACTTCTCCTTATTCTTATGGATGTCAGAGTTGGCTGTAAAAATTTTTAGGACTCTAGCTGTTGCAGTTTTATGCAACTTTTAATAATTATTTTGTATATGGGCGTGGCTCCTCTCCCACTTGAAATTTCAAAATAAAAAGTAGACACTGTGAAAATGTCAAGAAAATCGGTTCATCCGTTTAGTCGTCTACAAACTTCAAACATACAAACAAACACACATTCATTTTAAATATATACATACATATAGATTAGATATTTAAGATGTTATAATTCTTTAGTTTTAATATGTATTGTAATATTATATCTATATTCTTCTTCTATCTTCTATAAATGTCAGAGAACTGCAAAAATCATTTTTTTCCTGATTTAATCATTTAATCATAAGAAAATTTTATTTAGTTTTGTTCATTCAAAAAAAAATGCAATATTGAATAAAATCAAATTCAAATATTTCAAATCAACACATTTGTATAAAAAAATCAAAGAAAATACAATTTGAATTATTGTATTTTCAAACACATTTTTTTATTTGCACATTTGAATGAAAAAACTATGGTTTTGAATAAAATCAAAACATTTAAAAATTAATGAATATAATCAGAACGTTATGATTAATATGAATTTAAGATATATGGTCATGAAAAAACTACTTTTAAAAATTGTAAAATTACCAATATTAAGTGTTAGAGCAAATTTGTAATGATTTGTATACATTATCGACGCAGAGCAAGGATAGACTTCAATATTAACCAAATTATTGACAATTATAAGCAATATAGGGTTATTTTTGCAATTTAAGAGTCAAAGTTTTTAAAAATTGTTGCAGCAGAAGAGGAAGGCCATTATCGTCAATGGGATTACTAAAGATGTTCAACGTATTTCATACCGCTAAGGTTTCGTAATGTGCCCAACGTTTTTTATAAATATTTGAGCAATAATATTGGTTGTTGCCTTTTTGAGTTTTATTTCCAATAAAAAAAATTATTTTTGAGTTGATCAAATTGATTAGAATGATTTAAGCAATGATTTTATTCATAAAACAAAACAAAATGTACTAATTTGATTTATTTAAAAAACAAATTTGACTTTTTTGTTGAAACAATTTTGAACAATTTAATAAAAATACAAAAAAAAAATAATTATTAATAATATTTTTTGTTCTGAATAAAAATGTGATATGAATGGTTGTCATATCTGTGATATTTGATTTTATATAATTCTTCTTGTAAATTAACCGGAAAAAGCTACTGTTAAAAATTCGCCACTTGAATAGAACATCCCCCCGAAAAAGTTATTATTGATTTAGATTATTTACAACGATATAAATTAAAGTAAGCTATTTTAGTAATGTGTTGAACCTCCTTGGTTGACTAACACTTCACAAATCCTGTTTGGAAGTGATTCATATAGCTCGATCATGTAATTCAGTTGTACTGAGCTCCAGACTCCAGTCATTGAAAACCGAAAATGACTTTTTTATTAACCCAATGTAGTTCTTAGCATTTATTCTTGAGCTTAAACTGATGCTCGAAGGTGCCACAATAGGAAATTGCTCCCCATACCATGACGCCACCAACACTGCTATGTAGACGATCCATATAATGTGGTTCCTTCCGAAGGTCATGAAAATAATACTTACATAGCAGTGTTGGTGGTTTCATGGTATATATGTGGTATGTGGTATCATTTGAGAGATTTTTTGAAGTCACGACTAGTGGTGTGCAAAATTGTACATACATTTTATTTATATTAATGAAAAACCTAAGCATTTTAAATTGTTTGGAATATGACAATTATGAGAAGACAATCATTGGAAGCGGCTTTAAAATTCCTTTCAAACGATACCCCATATTGGATAAATTGTCTCAAAACAAAACCAAAATTAAAAAAAATAATTCAAAAATACTTTTTTTATTCGGCCCATCGCTAGACTTAAAATATTTTGGGAATCATCATAAAACAAAGCAGGGTAAATTGTATGTAATTATGTATGTATGTATTGTTACGATTTTTGTTTAACAATAATTATCAAAGCATTTTTACATTTTCGAACACTATGGATTGGTATCTTTCCCCATTCAACTCGCATCCTACATATTTTACTTTTCTTTTGCATCTTATTTTAGTTTTTTATATGTGCGTAAAATTGTGTATCAAATCATACATGTTACCAAATATTAATCTAATTTTTTTTTTTGCATAAATACTTTTGTCTTCTTACAACAAACGTAAATGCAATTTAATTTTTTGTATTAATTACTCATTGGAAATTAATTACGCAGTTATTGAATTCTTTAATCACGCATTTTACTTAGCAACTTAATATTTTGTCACATTTAATTCATTCTCAAGTCGAAAGTGGACAGTGCAAGTTGTGTGCAATTATTAAAAGGTGGTAATTATAAGAATTAAAATTTCCATGTGGTATAGTGAATGTTATATAACATACGGCCATTGTTCCAGTAATATCTAATATGTATATGTGGGATTTGGACCAGGTCGCACACGATCAGGTATACCCTACTAAGGGTTAAGCTTAATAAAGTTGTAACAACATTTTTTGACCGTTGGACTGAGGAATATTCTGGAAGTAGGAAAATTGACGAGAATGTAGTAAAACGACCGTTGTATTTGATAGCACATAAGTTGACATGAGACCAGATATTTAATGAGATTTAGGGAACTTTTCTAGAAGACGTGAAAACCAACGAGGACATAAAAAACGGACGAGTAGCTTTCAATAGACGAACGTTTTCGTCTATAATAGAGTCAGTTGTCCAGCAACAGTCGTGATATAAAGTTGAAAGTGTAAAGTCGGAAAAAGTTGAAAGAAGTTGTTAAGTTGATTATAAATTGAAAGTCGTTTAAATTGAATTAAGATTGTGAAATTGTTATTGTTGTGGAAACTTTTAAGTTAAACTTAATATAGTGATTAATTAACAAACCCCTAGACTTAAGTGAAATATTTCTAATAAACTTATTAAATTAAAACAAATTGTGTTTTAATCGAGGTAATTAAACCTCTGGATAATAAATTCCCACAAATTGGGAGCTCAACCAGGATGTGCCGGCAAATGAAGTGTTTGGAATAGTGGAATTTTCATGATCTAAATAAAGTGACAAATTTGAACTTCATATATAAAAGTTGATACATTACGAAAATGTTGAATAGTGTTAAAGTTGTGCAATTTTGAAGTTTTGTTTAGTTAACGTTAATTTAAATGTAATTGATGAACAATTACAGTGTTGAAAGACTTCGGAAAAAAGTTAAGGCACATCAAACACAAACATGAAATACTCTAATATAAAAAGTCCTTATTAATTGAAAGTGTGAAAAAAAAAACTCTTTGAAACTTAAACATACAAAAAAAACATCCGGCAAAAACAAACATACATACATCAAAAGGGCAGAAGAGAAAATTTGTGGTACAAAAAACAGAATAAAGCAAAAACTAAACGAAGTGGAATTGTGTTTTTAAGAGATAAAAGCAACCTATATTGAGCTAAGAGAGATAATAAAGTGATCTTTCTCAGAAAAATGAGAATAAGAAGAGATCTTAAGAGACCAAGTTATTTGCAACGAGTTTATGAAAAAAGGGGGACGAAAACAACAAGTGAAAATTGTGTTTTAGAGAACTTTGTAGTTTGTGTGTGTGTTCAATGTTAATGAAAATAATGTACATTTGGCTTATGTGTATTGATTGGGAGAGAAAAAGTGATGTAAACTAGAACATTCCCGAAAGCTTTGTATAAGGAAAAAAGTTTTAACGAACATCAAAGTTATCATTAAATCAACTGTTAAGCTTTTAAATTTACTAACGAAAACTTTATTTGTGACGAGTAAAGCTTTTTAGCATTGTGTGGAAAAAAGAGAAGGCAGATCTACTTTAATGTTGTGTTTATATCCAATTATAACTTTATGCGGAACAACGAATAAAAGCTTGGCTGGTAAATTATATTGAGAAGATGAAAGTAATCCCAGGCGAGAAAAGGAGACAAATACATAAATGGAAGTTTACTGATTAAAGCTTTGCAACTAAGCAGAACGACAACTGCTGTTGAGTTGGAGAATAAAGAGCGAGCTTCTATAAGATAAGTAATATATTTAGTATGTTAGTTATTTATTTAGTTTTCATGGAATTGAGAGCTTTTATGTTACGATTTTGAATTTAAATGCATTTTGAAATTGGAGATTTTATGTTAAAGTTTGAATGCTATTAAATTAGATGTTAAGATTACAGACCGGTTTCTGTTATTTTTGTCTACAGTTAAAGTATCAGTTTATTTTTAAATTCTGTTGAATACTGTAAAGTTGAATGTTAAATTGCTAAGTACATATAGTATAGGAAGTTAATGTTACGGAACAGAACTGTTATTTTTTTTTAATTGTGTCGGTTAATGTTATGTTTGGATAGATAACATAGATAATACAATTGTTAATTGATATTATAGAATTCTGGAATATTTAATTTGCTAGTTTTTACATATAACTAATTTTGATATATTGAGACAGGATATTAATTTTTTAATTTAATTATTAATGATTTGTGTTTGTAAGGAGTATATTTATATTTGAATT